TGTGGGTGAGGTTAGTGGTGCAAGTTCAGGCACAGGTAAATGGCTGGTTGCAGAACCAAAATGACTTCAGAAATAAGTGCTTACTGGTGTTATTTTGAGCAGTAGCTTGTTGTAGACTGTTCTAAATGCCAGAAGCTGTTAAATGTTATTGTGATTTTGTGGAGTGGACCCTGCATTAGGAAGAAATAGCTTTTGTGAAAAGTACCACTTAGAGCTAGAAATATTTTTCAGCAAAAACAACTTCAAGCCTCTTTTAAATTGCAGACAGCTCTATGACAATAAGTTCAGAGAAATTCTTTGAATTCAGTGAAGTTCTTACAGCACAGGCAATGGGGAAGTCTAGAAAATAAATGTGACAGCTACAGCTTTTATCCTTATTTATTACTTTTTATTTTATTTAGGAGGTCTGCCCACTGAGAGTACATCTCACCAAAGTCCTATCTACATAAATCTTGATCTGCTCCAAAGTCCCAAGTCTTATCTTAAATATTCTGACAGACTTAGGGTCTTCCTGCTCTATAGGAACAGTGCAGTTAATAGTATTTGGCTCAATATTGAGCTGATTGAGACCTTAATTTTTTTCTCCTGTCAAAATTATTACCACTGTCTATCCCACTGAGGCCACAGAAGCAGTACAAAAACTCCATGCAAGACTCTTACACTTGGAGAGATGGATTGCAAAATGGCATAAGAATGCTTGCTTGGCTGCTGAGGTGATGCAGACTTTCAGTACTTAAAATACACTTGCTTCAGTAGTGACAGTCCTTAAAATAAATGCAAAGCGTCCTCATGAAATTAGAATCAACCCCGTAGAAAATGGAAGTGTCCGGAAATTATGCAAATAGTAACTATGCTGGGAATACTGTGGTAACTCTGTTCCATTGTATCAGAACATGCAGCTGTCATGTCCACAGACTTCAAATAAATTTCTGAAACTTTGTAGATACAGAAGAATGTTTCCTGGTGTCAGCATTACCAGTAACATTATTGATCCTTTTCCTATAGCTTGAAGGGGAACTTGGCACCATGTTCCTTAGCCCCACCAAATCTGATTATGATGGATACTCTAAATACATAGCTGAAATGCTTCCATCTGAAAGCCCTGTACTATATGGACTGCACCCTGATGCTGAGATGGGATTCTTGACAACATCAGATAATAGCTTCAAAACTCCTTTGGAAAAGCAACCCAAGGATACATGGGAGAGGGATCAGACCAGTCTGCAGTGAAAGAGGTGAAGTTCTTCATCCGGTGTGTTGTCAGTGCTGTTAATGACAGGTGGAATACATGTCTTACTGTGCTATTTCAGCAATAGGCTTAATTTCTGGAGGAGAGGAAAAAGCCATCAAATTAGAAAAGATCAGATGAGTGTTAATGGTTGTGATAATGCACCAGCCTGGCCAAGGGGTAATGCACTAGGAAGACATTTGGACCAATTTCTTCTTCACATTGACTTTATTGTGGCACGGGAAAAAAGGTATGGCTCTATCTCACTCTTCTTTTTGTATACTTTTATAGGCAAGTACAGCAACAATAACTTAGTAGAAAAAAGGTGCAGTTGGTTGAATTGGCAGGTCTAGTCTTGACTTCTGCCTTTTGTTCCCATCTTCTGCATGATAAAACTCCTTAGGGTAGCTTTCCTACACCTTTTCACTTGTGCCAAGCATAGGAAGTCCTTCCTAGCCTGTAGTGCTGAATTTTTCTGCTGCATTCACAGCACAGTCTAGCAGTGGTGTGCAGGCTTCCCATGCCAGGAAGAGCAGCCCAAGCACAGGCTCTCCCACTGCTTCCCTTCCTGGGCACTTGATCTGAGCAGGAGCCTTGTGGCTGGTCCAAGACTTCGCTTGCAAGCAGTAGAGGAAGAGGAGGTTTTCAGGGAGTTTTAGATTTTGGGTAGTCCAAAGAGGTGAATCCTGGCCAAGGAGGGTGTCTGACCATCTCTTAGCCTCAGCACCTCACCAGAGAACCTGGAGTCTAGCAGAACAATAACATTAATACTGATAAACTATCAGATGCTGGGTTAAAGGAACCAACCCTAATACAAGGATAAGCTTTGTCACTTAATTTGAAGTTGACTGGGACACTGTAGTTCTGTTCATAGTCAATATATGTCAGACACACAGATACATAGCCAAACTCATTCCAGAAAAATTTAAAAGGATGGGTTTTAAGCATGGAACATCACTGATGCTGTGCTTAAGAGATAAATGAATAAAGGAGCAGGGAAGGAAAATGTAATCACAAATCTCAGCTAGTTCTGTTTTCAGATCCTGCCATTTTCTCTATCTTTCTTTCTGAGTGTAAATCTGAAAAACTATGTCCAAATGCCCAAAAGCCTGGCATATCATGAGACTGAGCCTTCAGCTCCTTATCCTTACCAGAGTTAATTAAAGTCCCCTGTGACTGCCACTCCGGTTCTGCATTTCTGCATCCCTTTCTTTACTCCCTCCTTTTCCTCTGAAAACTCTTTTTTTCCCCTTTTATCACGATCATAGAGGTTTTGCAGGAGGAAATGTGATAACTCTGCATGCAAGTAGCCAAACATTGCTTCATCTCCTCGGGGGAGCTTGTGCTTTTCACACTCAGTTCCCATCCACTTTAGGGAGTCTGGACTATAACATGAGGCAGTCATCATTAAGTCTGCCAAACCTAGGGCTGAAACAGAGGCTGAGCTGCAGTAATGCTGTGACTTAATTCCTGCTCATTAGTACTGTTATGAATTGTTCTTCATTTATGTTCTGTCTCAGTTCCAGAGCAGGCCTGCAGGGAGAGAGACCCTTTTTGGGGGTGAGACATGTGTGTGCCTGTGCTATGTTTTGGCTAATGCCTGAGACAGCAAGGACTGTGGGAGGTGGAGGGGGTGATGGAAGCTATTAGGTACTAGAGAAATACAAACTACTGATCACACTTGACTGAAAATCAAGAAAATTCCAGGGTGTATCCTAGTAACAGCAGTCATCCCAAGTCCAGGGACAATGTGCTAGTAGACTTCAAGGGTCAATGTTACCTCAAATTGTAAAGCTAAATAGAAGCTACTAAGTGTTAATTGGTTTGCAGTCATTCCTCTCAATACTGTAGCCAAGAAGATAGCAAAGGTGATGGAGGGAGCATCTCTGGTTTTTATCTAAGAAAATGAGATATTTGTGCTCTTCTGAAGAAATCAGACTTGAAAGTAGATGAGTCAGAAAAGAGGTGATTGCTGGGATTTCTATTGGCTCGGTTGTATTGTCCTGGACAGGTTAAGAATGTCCTGGATGATATTCTGGAAATGCTTCCTGAGATGCTTAACATAGCAGAAATCATGCAGGAAGACTATTGCCTGGAGACCTTATGCTCTTGTTTGACTTGAAGAGTGAGGTGATGAACCTTTTCCTTTCAGAGATCCACAGGTCTTTTAAACAGCTGGACCTCCATCTGAAGGCAAATTACTTATTTCAGGGCTTTTTGTGGCTTTTTTGGAAATGAAAGAATAGTTATTCTTTATGTATGCTTTTTATTTTTCTCCAAAGGCAGAGCTGATGTTTTCTGCTCACATGGAAGTGCTGCAATACACACTCTTCTGTGATGTTGTGCCAGACACATGGACTAACCAGCATATCCATACACACACAGCTTTGCTCAGTGGTAAGTACCCCACAGTGACAGGGTTTAGCTACTATGCAGAACTGTTCCAGTGATTTAAGCCCAGCAGCCTTGTTCCATTCATATTTCTCCCAAATTTTGTCCTAATGGAAGTCAGTTTTCCTTTGAAGTTGGTTTTGTAGAAACACCAAGCACTTTGCTAAAGCAAAGGCTCCATCACCTCCCTTTGTCCCAAGAACTAGGCTTGTGTGTTCAGCATCTTGTGGGATTCCTTCTCCCTTAGCCTGAAACCAGCAGTGGTTAGACATGGATGAAACAGGCATTGTTTGGAACAGGAAATTCTTCTGATACCTCATGGCAATGTATGCTGCACTATGCCATTATTCAGGGCCTCTGTCAGAATCCCTTATGTTCCTGATGTGCACTTTGCTCTGGCTTATTGGAATTTTAAATATGAAGTTTAAAGACCAAAGATGGTATCAGACAATTTGCATTTAAGAAGCCATCAGCTGTTAGCTGCTAGTTTCTGGTGGTGAAGTTCAGGTTTCTCCCCAAGGCAGCAGATTTAACAGGACTGAGCATACTCACATTCTCTGCTGCCAGCAACCCATCCCATGCTGATCACCTTCTACAACTGATTTCAGACATGAGGGATGCAAATTCCATTGAAACGATCACCTTATACTTACATAAGCTTATACTTTCTGGTGACTTCAGCAATGTACTTTCTCTGTAGACAAAAGGACTCTTTATATTTGTAGTTTTGTCTAAAAGAAAGCAGTTTACATACAGTTAAGGCAGGAGCTATTGATGCTTCTCTTTTAGGGTTACTGATTTTCTCATGAGGTGCTCAGAACTTGATATCTGGACAGAGGACCTTGTGCTGCCAGCAATAGTGAGGCTTTCTGACTTGTTCCATCCTCAGTGCTTTCTGACAGGTCAGCAGTGATGTGTGTAGGGCACCAAGCATATGGTTTCAATGCCAGACATTTTCCTTTAACTATTGGTGTTAGCTATGTTTGTGATGCTGTTTGGAGAGTTAATCACAGCTTAAATAAAAAGATAAAAATCACCTTATCATCAGAATAATCCTTTCCTGAAAGCAGGGGGAACAATCCAAACTTGTCTTCAGGCTACTCAGAAGTGTGAAGACAAAGCAGCTAAGGAAATAAATCTTGGATTTTATAGTTTAAAAAAGATTTAAGAGTGCAAATTTTTCTACCATTGTTATTTAACTAATTCAGTGCATATCCTGTGGTACCATTCTATTTTCTTCTATAAAAGAGTTATGAGGCTAAGGAGAAAAATAAATCAAGTCTCCCAATCCTCCTTGTGTAGCTGTTGCCACAGTAGGAGATGGAAAGCTTTCAGCAGTGTAGTGAATAAGTAGTACATCTCATTTCTTGTCACTATCACAGCATATTAGCTGAGTTGGTTAGAGCACGGTGCTAGTAACACCGAGGTTTGTGAGCTCAATCTCCATATGGTTCATTTGGGAGTTGGACTCAATGATTCTTGTTGGTTCCTTCCCACTCAGAATATTCCGTGAATGTACGTTTGCATTTATCCCAAACACCACAGGAGTAACAGTTACAGGAGTAACAGTGTAGCTCAAATTCTGCATGGTCACCAATGGCACTGAGCTAAATGCTTCACTTGGCTAGCAGAAAGGTGGCCAGGAGCTCCTCACAGGACACTGCCTGGGCTGCCATCATTCTCTGGAGAAGGGCAGACCCCACACAGTCTCAGACTTGACAGTTCTGACATTAAAATTACTATCTGGATATTGAATTATTGAAAGCACTTCTTGGTTTTGTTTTTTTTTTTTTAAAGCTGTTAATGCACAGCAGGAACAACTGGCCTTTGGATAAGGTGTGCAGATGTTACCAAAAGGACCAAGGAGGAGTATGACCCAGCAAGGGAAGGAGTCTGTATCTGTGTGCCTTCCATGCAAGGTAAGAAATAAACTTAAATTGCTTTATTTCCTAGTTCAGGGACTTTATTAGGCATTCAAATTGCATCAAGAGTTGCACTAAAGCACTGTGACCCTATGAACAGCACCAAGAAGCTTGGGCATGGTGCTAGATTGTTGGCATTTGTCACTGTGACTTTAAATTTCATACCAGCTTGGTGTTCTAATCATTAAATATACTTCCTGCATTTAAATTACTGTTAAGTGTATCTGAACAAGGTCTGCATTTTAGTAAAGCAGCAGCTCTAATCCAACTGAGGTTCAGAAGCTTAAAGATTATTCCAGAAACTATAAATTTCACCAAAATTAACTTCTAGAAATTTTTTGCAGCTCTCAGAGGTGCAGAATAGTTAGTAGTTACCACATATTGGCAACTTGGATCAAGTAATCTACACAACTGCAATTTGGAAAAAAACCCAAAAAACCCCACAACCTAACCCTCACAAAAAACCACCAACCAACCTACCAGCAAAACCCACAAACCAACAAACAAAAAAACCCACAAAAATCATTTTTATCCTGTTTTTTTTCTTCTACCTCGACTGAAAGTTGCCAGTTCTAAATAAACAGATATAAAGAATTACGAATGTTTTATTTGGTGGGTCATAACGCTTATAAAGCTTTTGGGGAGACATACCAAGAATAAAGGAAGTATTGAAAACACCTGTATTGTGTGTCCCTTCCAACTCGGAATACTTAGTGATGCTGTGATTGGCATGAGGTATAATGAAGCATAATTAGGTGGGCAAAGAGTAAGAATTAAGAGATTTTTTTCATCTGGATTTTCAAGCAGTCAGTTGTTGCAGTAGCTGTAATACGGTTGTAGGCTGACCGTGAATGGAAACCATGTTCACCTTTTGAGCTGCAACCCCTCTTTTAACAACCTTCACATGACAAACATTGTATTTTGTTCTTTTGAATCTGTATTTTCCTGAGACTGAGGCGTCTAGTTCAGGGAGGACAATTCAGACCTGCTGTCAAAATGAGATTTTAGTTTTAACTGAGAAAAGCTGTCAACAAAGTTACAGCTCATTAGAGAAAGGTGAGTGACTCCCAGTGGCAGTAAGAGAAACACCATCGTTACTCATACTCCTCCACCAGACCCAAATATAATAAAAAGGAAAGCCTTTCTTTTGGAAAGGAGTTGCTACTACAGCAGGTAAATCCCAAGGGGAAAGTTGGGGTGGAGGAATGGAGCAGGGGCAAGGATGTTATTTGAATGTTGCTTTTTGAAATGGGGGCATCAACGATTCAGGGGGTTTTTTTAGACATCTGTCAGTCCAAGGGCAATACAGTTCATTCCTCCTCTGGAGACAAGGAAAGTATCAAGGAACCTTGTGAGTGCAGTTTGGGCTTGTGTTGGTGTTTGCATATATAAAATACCTACCTATCTATCTATCTATCTATCTATCTATCTATCTATCTATCTATCTATCTATCTATCACTACAGTCTCTGCTTTTAGTAAAAGGGGCATGTTGATGAATCCACAAGTACAGTCCAGACAGATACTATGTACTCATCTCTGCATCCATACAAGGAGATGATGCACAGCAGGCCAACAAAATGTAAATCTAAACCAACCAAATCTAAAGCCGTATGTTCAAATGTAGCCTTAACTATTTAGCTATTGTTTAAACACAAATAATTCTGATCTTGCACTACAGAACATCATGTAAAGCAGGTGCTACTATTACTGTGGGCACCACACAGGACATCCAGTGGGGCCCATAGCAGAAGCATGGATCAGGAACTGACTTCTGCAATGCCATTTTTTAAAGGCTATTCCAGTGGATCAGCTAAGGGAAACTAAGAATGTTTATGAGTGTTCAGCTAACAAAAACAAAAGCAGGAGGACAACTTATGTTTTGACTTTCAAGCTGAAAATCAAGAAGTCAGATAAATGGGTTCTGGCAGGAATAGCTTTACTCCTGGCAGTTTTGTACTAAGCTTTCAATAAAGTGTGCTGCTTTCTCAATCTGCCTGATAGGAAAAGGAGATAAGGATTTTTCAGACTCAGCTGGAGCCAGGAGATTTGTCCCACAAAACCCACAATCCTTAATGTAGCATTTATGTGGTCTATGTTGTTATTTCCTCATCCATCAATGTTGTGTTCATGTGTTTCTTCACATAATGATTATTGATCTCCAGGCACCATTACACCTGCTACGGGAAAGTAAATGGGAAACATCAGCATCAGGGTGTAGTTTGAATCACAAAATAGTCCTCATTAGATCAGTCTTTATTCTCTCTACATAAAATGAAATGTGTATCTTACACAAATTTTAACATACTTTAACATGCAATACAAATATGTTGCATTTAAACAAAGTTGTTCGAAAGCCTGGTTGTACAAATGAAAAAATATCTAAGTGTGAACAGTAAGTAAAAAAATGAATCCTGAACTCTGATATAGACCAGTTACAACAGATGGGTAGATGCTTCAGGCAGCAGGTGCACTACACAAAAACTGCTGGTGAGAAGTTTTGTTGGTTTTTTTTTACTGGGATATTTTACAACTTCTCTTTTTTAAAAACTCTTCTACTTTCATGTTTTGGTGAATAATTGCACTTTGGAATAAAATTTTCAAAAACCATCCTCCCACTGGTCGATTGCATCAGCTTTGGCTGGAATATAATGGCATTCAGATGAAAGTACCTTTTCCTTCTTTGCAAGGACAAATTCTATAAACTACAGGTGGTGGAACAGGTTCAAAAAGCAGAGCTGGAAAAATGGATCTTTATGGTTGAGCTGGTAGACAAGAGTGTTTTGTTTCTTTGAAGACGGGATGCTTTGAAGGTAGTTGTTAAACACCCTTTCTGCAAACGTGCACAATTATATAAATAAAAATATTGCTCATTTTGATCAAGCTCTCCATCACGTGGCTGTGTAGCTCTATTAAAAATTAACCACTCAAGGTTCAAGAGTGCCATTTCACTTAACATATAGGTCTGTGCATGTAGATTTCTCTACCAAAACATTTTCCTGAGAGACCTTTTGCATAAGACCATATCAATCAAAAAGTTCCCAATACAGAAATGAGTATGCTATACACTACAACTCTATTTTATGTAAAACATAGTAATAAACCTCTGAAGTCAAATTGTTAACATATTAAGCAGTCGCAGGCACCACTTGAGTTCAGTGTTCTCAATTGTCATCCGCTGCCAGTTGTTTTTGTAAACTAGAAGATGTGAGAAAACAGTGTTAATGCTTTTTAGGAAACTCAGCCTCCCCAAAAATTTCCATTGCTGAAGATGGTAACTTCCAAAACAGCACTTTTATGCACTTCAGCCAACCAACAGGGATTTCAAAATAGGCAAAAGTCTTTCAATTTTTTAATCAAATTAGTTGTTTACACAGAAAATATACCCCACTTTAAATAAGCTGATTTCAGCCAAGGAAAAAATCTGAAATCCAAGAAACTTCTTTTGTAGGCTTTGCCCCAGGGCACAAGAAGTCAAATGTTATTTAAAGGGCTGTAACAGTTTAAAAAGGAATGACCAGAGGGCAGAACTCTCACCTTTCCAGGTACTCCTTGACATTGTTGTAGCCGTAGAACTTGGCCAGGTGGATGAGCATGCCGGTGGCACAGCGCCCATCCCGCCGGCGGCAATAGCTGCAGTTGCACACCCCGCGACAAGGAGGACAGATCCAGGCCTGCAGGGGCATGAACGTGAGAGGGGGGTCAAAGCAAGTTATGAAAAATGTTAGATTTGCCTTCCTGTTGCTCAGAGACACGAGTATGGCTTCCCCACCATGTGATTGATCAGAGCAAGATTTTACAAGCCTGTATCAGCCAGCCAACCTTATTAACATTTTCCAAATTTTGCAGGATTAGAGAAATTATTCAGTGCTTGAAAACTTCCTACTCTGAAGCCTCAGGTTCTCTGATGTGCCCAGTATTGATTTTTAAATAGACTGAAGTCATCTGTAATGCCTAACATTCATTCCATCTTAGGCTGACAGTAGTCAACTCCCTAGAAAGAGATGGGTACCCACTGTGACAAGTTCCTTTGCCTCTCTCTGCCTGCTGGTACAGGACAATTCCTGGGACTGAATTAACCAGCTAGTACATGAAGTCAGGCATCTCCAAGCTGCTCAGCAATGGCACATAAAAGCACATGTACTAACACAGCAGCCACTGCCACACTGGGCCAGCACATCAGAGCTATTAGTTAGTACTACAGATCTGCTCTTGACAAAAAAGTTTGAACATCATGTTACCATGAGCATATTCTTAACATCACAGATTACTAACAAAACTCTATTCATTACACCTTCATTCCAGGCTCAAGAATGATACTTACTGGATCAAGAAGAGCTGATTTCACATCTTCACCATATCGATTTCGAAGACATGGCCCACAGAACTGCCCCCTCACTCCTCCACAGCCCTGGTTGCGACAGATTGTCTTTGTATCGGTTGTCTTCTGTCGACACTGGTGGCAAGTACTACCCTAAAGGTGGAATGGAAGAGAAAAACATTTATATGAAGGACATCTTAAACACCCATTGAT